ATATTAGGTATATCAAGAAATTCTGACTCATACATTACATCAAAGGTCACTTCATATATATGTATTGGATGTTCATTTTGTGTCGTATTTATGAGAACTTCATACGTATCATTATCAGATTCCATGTTAAATTGAGGTGATTATAATTCAGTGAATAATATTGTCTCAGCACTATCCACACATGGCTCACGAAATGGTTCTTCTAGTATATGCGAATAATCATTTGTCTCGTTTGCTGATGACAATCCCATGTCGAGGTCGATCAATTTATCAGATGAATACCAACCCTTTAAACTTGAAGACGTATTATTATATAGATTATGAATGAACTGTTCTGTCGATGGTATTTCAATGTTTAGGTCGAACAAGTTGGTAGATGAATGTATTCCCCTTGAACTTGACTACATATTGCCATATGGATTCTGAATTGACTGTTGTGTCGATGGTATTTTGATATTGAGATTGAATAAGTTGGTAGATGAATGTCTTTCCTTTGAACTTAAAAGGATTTTGTCATATGAATTATTCGTCGACCCACCTCAGTGGAGATTATAAGAAAAAATTAATGAATATCTTCCTATTGAACTTGATGATATACTATGAGGTGAATTCACCATTAATGATGTGAAATCATTCCATAATATTTAAGTTGCGCTCTCAACTTGATAAACTTGATCAACAAACCTATAGTGAGAGGAAAATGACATAACATAAACCTAACTTCAACAAATTTGGCATACATCTCTGTAAGAGCTTCTGAATTTTCATTCTAAGCATCAACCATCATTGTAACATCATCATCATTGAAAAGATCAAACACGATATATGATAATAGAAAAAAGTTTAGTACTAAATCTTTATCGTAGAGAAAAGAGTCATCTAGTACTTCCAACATAAGCTTTTAAGGAATTTTTTATTAACTCTTTAAGAGTGATGTTTCTCTTGAAGGATATGTAGATATAATTCTCTAATTAAAAAAACTCCCATTTCGGATTCATAATTTGACCATCATAATAAACAACAATAGAAATATGACTTATTCTTTGTGAGATAAGAGCAAGATGCTGAGAGTTTGAAAGTTTTAAATTTGAAGATAAAAAATATAGAGACTTAGATAGTATAAGTATTGAAATGAATAGAAAAAAATATAATGTTCCCCTTAGGGGAACTATTCATCTCGATAATTCCTATGTCTGATAGGATGAGACAGTATGGTATAGTAGAGATTATTTGCAAAAGGTGAAACGCTTCTTGTGAAAAGAACGTTCCATTTTTTATGCAGAGATTCTCTAGATATTCTAGATACATATTTGTACATATAATGTTCCCCTTCGGGAAACTATTCATCCCAACAACTCACATGCATGTTGTAATGAGAGATTATGACATGGTAGATATTCCTAACAAAAGGTGAAAGTGCTTCTTGTGAAAATTTATTTTTTATGCAAAGATTCTTTGTATATTCTATGTACATATTTTTACATATAATATTTCCTTTCAGAGAACTGTTTTCCCAACAACTAACATGTCTGATGAGATGTGACACTATGATATAAGAGAAATTCATTGTAAAAGGTGAAAATACTTCTTGTGAAAATAGCCTTCGTTTTTAATGCAAAAATTCTCTACATATCAGGGTTTCAAATCCTAGTTGCGGTTGCGTTTTCAGTCATTTCGTGTTTACCATGATTATAGTCGTCGCGAGCGCTATTGGGTACTATTGCGGGTGTAGCGGGTAATTCGGACGGCAGTGCTACCGCTATTTCACGGGCGCTATCATGTTTTTGGATCGTGATTTAAAACCCTGCTACATATCCCAACAACTTTCATGCTTGATGGGATGAGACACTATGACATGATAGAGATTGCTTACAAAAGGTGAAAGTGTTTCTTATAAAAAGAGCTTTCCTTTTTTTATGCAGAGATTCTATGCATATTGCAGATACATATTTGTACATATAATGTTTCCTTTCGGGGAACTATTTATCCCAACAACTCTCATGCCTAATGCTATGACATGTCAGAGAATCTATGTAAAAGGTGAAAATGCTTCTTGTGAAAAGTGTCTTCCTTTTTTTTGTGTAGAGATTCTCTACATATATATTCCAGATACATATTTATACATATAATGTTCTTATTCGGGGAATTATTCATCTCAACAACTCTCATGCCTGATAGGATGAGACACTATGACATGACAAGGATTTCCTACAAAATGTGAACGTGTTTCTTTTGAAAATAATATTCCTTTTTAATGTAGAGATTATCTGCATATTCCATATACATATTTGTACATATAATATTCTCCTTCGAGGAACTATTTATCCCAATAACTGTAATACTTGATGAGATAAAATACTATGACATATAATGTTCTATTTTTCTATATATTCTCTGCATATTCCACTCAATTTTATGTATAGATAATGTTTTTCCTTACTATCTATATATTTGTTTTGAGTTGTGGTCCTTAGTGACCCTTTTTTCATCCATTTCGTTATAATAATCATAAATTTCGTTGTGGTCCTCACTGCCCCATTTGTTCTCCACCATCTATCTATGTTTCTCATTCATCTACTTTTGTTTCTTCATTATTTATCCCAGTTGATTTAGTGTTTCAATTGGAAGCACCATTATCAACCTCAACGAATTCTACATCCATCTCCACATTAGATATAGAATGAGATCCACATGTATCAATATACCAACAAGTCAGTATCATGGTTTAGAGAAAACTTCGTGCATGATATTGGAAATTTAAAATGTATTAAAAATAATCTTTTATTTCTTCCAATTGAACATTTCTTTTAATCTTCTTGATTAACTCGTCTAGTTAAATATTTTTTGAAAGAAAGATTTGAAATCATAAAAAAACAATTGCAACAAAATTAGCCACGTAAAGAAAAAATTGAAGGTTTAGAAGTTAAAGACCAAAATTTTTTCAAATGTTTTATGTCGAAATTTTTTGAACATATTATGAGTGTTAAAAGTTTTATTGACATTTTTTGGTGATTTTTAGATAAAATTGATCAACTTGTATAGTCATTTCTACTTTTCATTTCGTAAATTTGACTGAATGCTCATGTTTTTTTCTATGATTGTAAGTTATAAGCTCATTTCTACTTTTCATATAGTAAATTTTACTATCATTTTTGTTGAAGTGGAAAAGAAAAAAAATGTGTTCAATTATTTGAATGGAAAATTTCATGGTATGTTTTTCTTAATATATTGAATTGGTTAAAGAGATAGTTGTTATTCCTAGAGGTCATGAATTCGAGCGCCAATAACTATAGGACTTTTGACCCTAAACTTTAAACTACTAACCCTAACCTTGACCTATTTATAATCACCCTAAACTCTAAAAAAATAAAATACTAAAACCCCTAAATACTAAATCACTAACCCTAAATCAAAGTAATGTGTATTTTATTTAGTTAATATTTTATTATTAATTAATATGTGTTACCTCCTTTTATAGTACTGGTTATTTATGTTTGAATCTGTGCATGACTCTATTTTCCAAGAAACAACAATTAAAAGGCAAATTAAATAGATTTTTCTATTTTTTTGGAAAAGTTGGCGCCAACTCTGATTAGGAGACCAATCCAGGTGCAAACTCTTATGAAATAATCTAATCCACAATATCAAAGGAGAAAAGCAATGTGAATCACAATTCATTAGGAATTAAAAGTTGTAATTCAATTCAAACTCTTTGATTTTATTATTTATTTAATTAGGATTTTAGTTTGCTTAGAATTGCAATAGGATTTTAATGATTTATTATTAGTATTTTTTGTTTACTATTAATTAGTAATTAAATATTTTAATTTTCTTAAGAGTTAGTATTTTATTTTCACTAGATTATCTCAAAGCTATAAATACCCTCTGGGGTGAAGCTTGAGACATGTTCAGAATTCAACATAATACATTTTGGCTTTTGTTTTGTTTTAGGTTTTTAGTTCAATAAAAATTATTTTCTTCTTCATCTTTTCTGTCTTCCATACGCCAGGTATGAATTCTATCATACTTGGCTAAATTTTTTCTTAGCTGATAACTGAGCTACGACTCGATTCGATCTCGTGAGAATTGCAAAAACGCTTCACATCTTCAGATTCTTTTTTGATTTTTCGGCAGACAATGAGAGGCAATCGACTTTTCTTCAAACATCTCAATATCTTCAATCCAAAGAGTGCACATTAGCTTGATCGACGTTGTGATCTACAGTTAGGGAGGAGAGTCGGCTTGTAGCAAATTTAATTCCCTAAGAACAAATTTAGCAACGGTACGATAAGGGAAATCAATATCGAATTAGATTCTCATTGAGACACCATAATCCAAGCGCGAGCGCGGGCTTTTCCAGTTCCTAAACCAACATTGACGTTAATATCGATAGTCGATATTAATCCAAACAAGGGCTAAATTTCAAGGATTGACTTTGGAAATTAGTTCACCAGAGAGAAGAGTAAGTTACAAGGGTTGGGCCTTGTAAACTGTAATCGGTAGGTATCTGAAGTAAAATCTTGAGGCAATCTTTCATCTTAATTACTTATCTACAATTTATTTTTCTTATTTTTAATGCTTTCACTTTAGTTTTAATTTTTTTATTTAGTTACTTGATTATTCAAAATCCCCATTTTTAATTCTTTTATTTTACAAGTTTCTTGGTTAGCATCAAATCAAATCTAAATTAGAAATGTGGACCGACTCCTTCTTTCCTATTTTGTGTTTATAGCTTACTTATATAAGAAAAAAATGCTTATTTATTTAACAATTAAAAGCTTGTCACAGAGTGATATTACTAGAAACAGAGGCGCATTCTACAGAAAGCGTCCTTCACATGGGCTGTCAAATCATCATAAGACGTGTTCTAAGGTGATATTTTGATAAATATTGGTTACAAGTTGTTAATTCGGTAGATAATGATTTTTTGGGGGTATTTTTTAAGGTAAAATTACCCCAATAGTATGCTTATGTGTGCATACACTATCTAGGGTTGGTTTCAACAATATCCCATTTTGGTTATATCTTTGTTCTTCATAGTCCAGATTCCTCTCTACTCATTCTGTCCGCCATTAGCTTGCGTCTCTCTTGTGTTTTCCTCTATTTGAGGTGAGATTTTTACTTTTTTTGGGGGGGGGGGGTTTGATTTTCTCTTGACTAAACACCCATTTTTTTTTGTGTTCGTACGTCGTTCTTAACTATTTATAGCTGATCTTACTTTAGGGTTAATGACTTGTAATTGTAGGATCTTTGTCTGTTTCCCTTTCCATTTCTATACATATATAATTGTCTGCATCTTGCTATTAATTACACACAAGCTTGACTATATATATATATATATATATTTTCCATGGAAGATAATGACGAGAAAGAAAATCCAGATCAAGAAAATCGACGACACATCGGCTAGGCAAGTGACTTTCTCAAAGAGGAGAAGAGGGCTTTTCAAGAAAGCTCATGAGCTTTCAGTCCTTTGTGATGCTGAGCTAGCTGCTATAGTGTTTTCTGCAACCGGGAAGCTCTTTGAATACTCCAGCACAAGGTAATATGCTTTGTGTGTGTGTTTTTACCTCGGAAGAATCTCATTAACCCGAAGCTCGTAGATTAATGAATTGAATATGCTTGGCTGTGTGTGAGAGGAATAGAGAAAGGTAATTGCTTCGGAAAAAACAAAAACGAAAGAAAGATCTTTAGAATCAAGAAAACTGTATAAAAGTATACATTCATAATGGTTTAATGTACTGATAATCTTCTTTAGTACTAGTTTAGGTCAGAAACTGGGGGCTGCTCTTTGGGTAGGAGACCATAGATTTGCCATGAAGGTCTATCTGATAATCCTTGTTGCTTATTTACAGACTAATCTACATACACAGACATTTGTATGAGTACGACATTGATATTTTCATTTTTAGCTTCCATTTTTGTTTTTGAACTGAAAATGTACTTAGATTGAAATTCCCACGATTGAGATCTTCCTATAGCAGTGCTCATTGACGCCTTAATTTCTTAAGAAATTCTCGTAAAATATAGGGATCCTACCAGGTTTTCGACTTTTGTGGAAATAACAAATGAGATATGCTAATTCGTAACAGTGTATTAAGTATACTTAGAATATCATTTGATTATACTATTAGGAACTGTTGGATTAAAATCAGCTAACATTTATAATAGTAATCTTTATGACGAGAAATATTAGTTTATAATAGAAATCTATTTGTATAATCTTCTAAACCCATTTATTGCTTATAGGCTTATAGTTGCCCGTAATCCGATCAGCATTAATGTTTGTTACCGGCACGAAACCCTAGTCTCTGTGTCCACGCTTCCCCAAGATGACTACTACACTTATATTTGTTACTGCCAAGAAACCCCAAAAAAACCCTTGAAATAGTGCTTTCACCGATATTATAATCTTTGTTACCTGAATTTGGAATGAATATGAGGTAAAAGTATGTGTTTGTTACATGATCAGTAAAGCTGATGTTTCCTCAACTTCATTGTAAACCCTGTGTATATAATCTCCATAGTTTTATTTTTAACTTTTTAAGTTAGGGTAATGACTCAGTGCCAATGTAATGTAATCTCAAGTACGAGGCAGGTGATTGAAAGGCGCAATCAGCAGTCAGAAAATGGGATTGACAGATCGATTACCAATCCATCTCTTGAACTGCAGGTTACAATTGAACTTTTTGTTGTTTGTTTATAGTATCTGCACCCTCTCATGCTGATGAAGCTGCCCTCAAAGTTTTGTTTTAGCTTGAGATTAGCAGATATGCCAATTTGAGCAAGGATTTGGCTGCAAAGACCCACCAATTCAGGTAAATATGAATATTTCCTCTCTCTATCTCTCTCTCCCTTTATGTATGTATATTTTTTGAAATGTTTTCATGCATGGATAGGCAGCTGAGGGGAGAGGATCTCCAAGGGTTGGACTATGAAGAATTAAGTCACCTTGAAGAACTAGTTCTAGGAGGCCTGACCAGAGTTGTGGAAACAAAGGTGTCCTTAAAAGCCGCATAACAACTCATTGTACCTTTTAGAGTCTGATCAATTGATGGACTTTTAAGTGTGATTAATGATGAAAGCTCTTGTGTTGCAGGATGAGAGATTTTTCAAGGAAATCAGCACCCTCAGGATGAAGGTGATATATACTTAACCTAGCTATTGAAACAGTAGTTTTGACAGGACTTTTATTGAATATGCTAGCTAGTATACGGAACATTGAAATTTTGCTGCCTGATTTCTCAATTTGATTCCATTATGTTGGAAGAAATTTGTAGAAAATGACATCTGAAGAAAGGGTTAGAGTAAGTTCTTAGCCAATAGTGGTTGAATATGATCTGACACTTGATTCTTGTTGAATATATATGAAGGAAACAGAACTGGTTGAAGAAAACCAGCAGTTGAAACAGCAAGTGAGTTGTGTACTGATCATTTCCAAAACATTCTTGTTTACTGCTTTCATTTGACATATCGAATTTGATTTCGGCAGCTGGAGGTCCAAGCGGTTGTAACTGATCATGGGAAACCATCAGTGTCCTCTGAGAATCCAAGTCATGACTATAATAATAGTTATGACATTTCTCTCAGACTTGGGTAAGTCACGTAACAGTATACATGCACGCATGCAAATAAAACCATGCATTATCATTATTAGGAGGTTAAAATGAATTCATAAATGTTTGAGGGTTAATGTATAGTTTTCTTATTGGATTAAATTATAATTACATAACTTTTTAAGGGTCTACATGGAAAATATTCCATTTTAGGGTGACCAAGGCCACTGCCTATCCCCTCCAGCTGCATCTATGTTCATCTATTAGTTTGTCATTCAATTATATAACGTTAGATATAATAGTAAGGCAATATATTATACTCGTTACAGAATTTATTTTTGAATTTTCAAACTTTAAAGACAAAACTATTAAAAGAAACAATCACAAATCTCAAATATAATCTACACAATGTACATCAAATATATTAAAAGAATTTTCCAACTTTGATGATATATATATATATATATATATATATATATATATATATATGATCGAGTATGCATCGAAAATAGATAGCCTAATTTACATTTTACAACATTACTAGTTGGACTGCTAACACTTGACTTCTGTTGTAGTTATTGTATGTTGAAATGAATGGATTTTGCAGGTTACTCTTCCCTAACTCGCCGTTAGAAAGTTAAAGAGGATGATGTTGTGAAGAAATCAGCATCTTTTGCTTAATCTTATCTTTAAAATTTAAAAGATAAGGCACCATGCCTTTATTAAATACATAATCTCAAGGGTACTGTATTGAATAAGTTTACTATTATTGATAGGGTAAAGTAGGATATTGTTTTATTAAATCCTTGACTATTAAAGTTATAAAATGATCATTCGACTATAGAATATTGCTTTGTTGAGTGTCTAGACTATTTAAAGTTATAAAATGGTCATCCAATTATTCATTATGTTCCAAACTTTTTTTTTTTGTTAAAAAATTGGAGGTTGTTTAAGTTAGATGTTAATATGATACTTAGATATGATAGTCGTTTGATATTTTAGGATTATTTTTTTTCATATCACAGTCAATAAATTGACTATATTTGTTTGTTATATGTCATTCATCCACTCCAAAGCTTAAACGTATACATTGTCGCTGTTTTACATATAATAAAATGTTTGTATTAGACTCCCAAGTTAACCAATTTTATGATACTTTGTACCTTTAATTATTATTTTTATGCACAACGCATTCAATTGAGAAAATATATTGAGCATTAATTTCATGAATATCTTTCTTTCTTTGATGGACGTGTGTATAGATTTCCAGTTTCAGATTTTTCATGAAAATTATTTTATGCACAATGCATTCAATTTTAACTTTTCTATTTGTCTGATTTAAACAAATCATTATATATATTTAAATTTAAAAGAAATCAATTTATTTTTAAATTAGATTGGAACTAAATTCTTAAAACTAAAATAAAAAACATCGACTGCATTAACGACATACATTACACTCTCAAAGAGAAGACGCAAGTTTATATAAAACCGTAAAATGGATACAGAGAACACAAAATATTTCTTAGAATTGAAAGTATACATATTGTTAAGCATGCCATTGATGTAGTGATAAGGTTTACATTAGTTTCAAGTCCTGGTTGACCCGAAATCTAGGATTGAAACTTGGACACTCATGGATTTCTCTAACATGATCACAAATGAAAAATAGAAAGGAACTAATTTCAAATGTCCAGAGATTTCAGGGACTGGGGCGTAATTAGAGCAGTTATGATTGGACAGGATACCGCACCTATGAAAAATTATTAAACGAACTCGATTCATTGTGTCATCCGTGATCTCAACCAATGATATTTTTTCCTTTAATTTTTTCAGGGTGAATATTCACCTCTTTCTTGTTTACACAAGAAATAGACAGATATTTAAATGTTATTTTAAGATTAATAGATATTATTCACTAAAACTATAAATAATGTGGTTAGTCGGGTAAATGAAATAATTTCTCCGCACCTACGTGTTGTTCTCGAAGTTGATCGTGCATTGCATCACACTTGCATGAAATAACGTGAATTTAGTACTTCCCGAAAGCTCTACTCTGTACTTAATTCCCGCTAAAGACCTGTTCCAAACTCAACACTAACAAGAAAAAGCCCCCCCCCCCTCCGTCGCATAGACACAGGAAAAGAAGAATAAAAAAAGCATAATAGAAAAAGAAGAAAGATTGAAATCTTTGAGGAAGAATTAAAACCAGTTTTTGATCAAGTTATTCAGCCATGGATGAAGAGTACGATGTGATAGTTCTAGGAACCGGCCTTAAGGAATGCATTCTCAGTGGTGTTCTCTCCGTTGATGGACTCAAAGTACATTCACTTTTTTAATAATTTCAATTCTATCATGATTATGTTCTAGTGATTCAAACCAAATACGCAATCTGGGTTTTCGTATTTCGAATCAGTTGTTCTTATGTTTCTTGATAGGATCCTTAATCAAACCTTTGTTTATCAATCTATTTGTAAAACAGGTATTGCACATGGATAGGAATGACTATTATGGTGGAGAGTCGACTTCTCTTAATCTTGTGCAGGTCATTGTTCTTTGATTAACGAAACCTTTTTTTTTAATCTGACACTTTTCTAATGTTCTAAATCTTGTCTTTCTTCTTCTTCTGCCATTGCATAGCTTTGGAAACATTTCAGGGGAGATGAATCGCCTCCAGAAAAACTGGGCGCAAGCAGAGAATATAATGTTGATATGATGCCCAAGGCATGTTTATGTTGGTCTTTTGTAGTTTTCTCACTACTCTAAATTGCCTGCTGGATGCATAGTTTATGTTACCCTTCATATATAAATATACAATGAAAATGGTTTAATTGATTGCTTTTGCAGTTCATGATGGCCAATAGAGGTCTGGTTCGTATTCTGATCCACACAAATGTCACCTCTCAACTTCAAGGCTGTGGATGGGAGTTATGTGTACAATAAGAAAAAAGTAAGAGTATTGTGTGTCTGTATAAATATTTTCGTATGATTTGTTTATAAATATCAGTGCAAACATTGTTCCATTTCCTGCAATAAGTTAAAGCAATTACCACAACTTGTAGATCTACAAAGTTCCCGCGACTGATGTCGAAGCACTGAAATCACCATTGATGGGGCTGTTTGAGAAGCGCCGTGCCAGAAAGTTCTTCATTTATGTGCAAGACTATGATGAAAATGATCCGAAATCTCAAGAAGGAATGGACCTGAATAAAGTAACAGCGAGAGAACTTATCTCGTGTGTATCTCATCCTTGTTCCCCTCTATAAAAATTTCTCTGGCACTTACATTGACTAGGAGTTTCATTTTCCTCTTTGAAAAGGAGTATTTACTTTTGCTCTCTAAAGCTATGTTTCTCGGACTTGGGTATACTACACAGATATGTTCAATCATATCCTAGGAACTATGTCCGAGTAGACATAGGCTCCTCTGAAGAGTCTAACATAGCTCTAGGTTGAAGGAACATCTCTGTTCATGATCATTAGCTAGCATTAATTACAGTTTACTGGTCTTGATGTGTGCTAATTTTTTGCAATGTAGGAAGTATGGGCTTGAAGATGACACAATTGACTTCATTGGTCATGCCTTGGCTCTCCACAAGGATGATAGTTACTTAGATCAACCAGCTCTGAGTTTTGTCAAGAGAATGAAGGTAAAAGTTTCTTTTGTATAGTCCAGATTCTTTGGTGCATACCTGTATCGTTCTGTTTTAGCATTATATTCAGTGTATTTCTGCATTTGTTTCGTGAAGCTTTATGCAGTCTTTGGCACGGTTTCAAGGAGAATCTCCTTATATCTATCCACTCTGTGGACTAGGAGAATTGCCTCAGGTGCGTCATTATATGTAGTTTAAGCTTCGTGTTTAATAGAAAACATTTGTTAGTTTCAACTTGTTATCATGCCTCTATTGGCAGGCATTTGCACGATTAAGTGCGGTTTACGGTGGTACTTACATGCTCAACAAGCCGGAATGTAAGGTAAAGCATTGCCTCAAGTGGCTACATGAACCGAGTTAAGCTCTTTGGGTTATTGTAGTGCATCCATTTGAGTAGAAGTTCTATGTATTGGATTGCAGGTAGAATTTGATGGTGATGGGAAAGCTATCGGTGTGACTTCTGAAGGAGAAACTGCTAAGTGCAAGAAAGTTGTTTGTGATCCATCTTATTTGCCTGATAGGGTAACCTCCAACGAAACCTTGCCCGTCTTGCATTTTTCATTCGTTGACAAGTATGCATCCTCAAAGGTTGATTATATCGCCTTGTTCGGTCATTTGGTTTTTGATACAACAGGTTACGAAGGTTGGAAAAGTTGCTCGTACTATATGCATAATGAGCCACCCTATTCCTGATACCAACGAATCTCACTCGGCTCAGGTTATTCTGCCTCAGAAGCAACTCGGTCGTAAATCAGACATGTATGCTGCGAACTTGGCTAATTTCTAGTCCTTTTGTCCATGATCTTTGCTAACTTCAAAGGTTTTATTTTTGGTTCTGAAGGTACCTCTTTTGTTGCTCATATCCTCATAATGTAGCACCCAAAGGAAAGTACATTGCTTTTGTTTCTGCAGAAGCAGAGACCGACAACCCTGAGGTAGAGTTGAAGCCCGGCGTCGACCTTCTGGGAACTGTAGAAGAGATTCTACGACACTTACGACAGATAGGTTCCTACCAACGACCATACAACAGACAACTGTTTCATATCTGCTGTAAGAAGACTTCTATATAAATATATATATCATTACATTGCAAAAGTACCCCAAGCCAACCTTTTACAACGGTTACCTTCCCAATCTTACTGATTCCAAGTCTCGGAAAATTGTTGCAGAGTTATGATTCAACAACTCACTTTGAAACCACAGTTAATGATGTGATGGAGATGTATAGTAAGATTACTGGGAAGGTAGTGCGGTTCATTTTCAAATATGTTGTCGAGTGTGCGTACTGTGTAGTTATATGTTTGTACATGTCATTTTGATGACTCGACGGCGTCGTCTTCTCTCGGTTGCTGTTGAAGAATCTAGGGATGCCTCTTGAAGTCCCTGTAGAGCGAAACGATGGCCAAGCCA